CGTAATTTACAGTCTATAACACTTAAGAATAACTACACGAAATACAGTGTTTCCGATTTATAAAACTTACGGATAATTACATGAATAATAATAACTACTAGACCACCGGTGACGTTGGGTCACCCACTATTCAGAGGTTATGAAGAATTCAAGCTAATTTCAATATTGCAAGTAAAGAACATTAACTGTGCTAAAGAAATAGTAGATTTTAAAATGCTTAAAATGGAATTACTTACAGATATCTTAGAAGAAATGTTAATACAGTTATACAGATTATGACCGAGAGAATTTTTCGTGTTGATAACTAATGTTGTAGCTATATTATTGACTGTAATAGAAGGGCTTATCAACGAACATTTATACTTTCAAAATGAAGAACTCAATACTTAGAAATAGTGTTTTCACAAAACCTTGAGTTTCTATATAAATGAACTGTTCATACGTGTATAAATAAAGAAGTTATTTGATTTGTAATTAAGTCGTCTCTGTGCAAGTTCTTTATTCTGCATGTAAACGTCCTAGAGTTGGTGGCTTGTGTACTCTGCTTGCGACAGCACGACCCAAAGTCCAAATAAATACTTTGTTACTAGTGTATAGTCGAACCCAAGGGCTTCCCACACACCAGGTACAGGATATCAAGGTTGCATCTTGCAATGGCTTTATTACTATTTAAGTGGTCATATTTTTAGTGTAAGAACTGGAAGCACCTACTGTTTCACAATGTCACTTGTTTAAGATATGTTGATTGATATGGTTGATTTCCTAAGAAATTATTATAATTTTTTTTTTCTTGCTGATGATACTGCTCTTTGGCACAAGTGTCAAAATCTTGGATTCCTTCATCAGTCTGTGTACAATACCTCTAATTATGTTCAATCCTAGGTAGGCTTGGAATTTACTCTTGCTGTCATGAGATGCAAGACTATGATTATTACTCATTGCAGGAAAACATCAACTCTTGCTCTCTTAGAATGAGAAATATGTCTGTTTTTTTTTTTGTACAATAATACAGATACTTAGAAATGCTGCTGAACAAACATTGGAGTTATAAATTTCATTTGTTTAATATCTGCAAGGAACTTCTTGATTTTATAAGACGATTTCAGATACATGTTTGAGTGCTGATAATCACATACTGCTAACAAGCCTCAGATTACTTGGAATCCTCTTTATCCTTTGCGTTTTCCAAAAGTTTCAGTAGCTCTCTCATCCCAACCACATGATGGAAGTCTTCTACCAACTACCTAACCATTCTTAGATTGTTTGAGAAATTTTTGTGTATTTATAGCAATGGCTCTTAAGAGATTATCTTTGGAAATATTACAAGTGCATTTTCCATTCCTCCTCTGAAAATGCTCAAGTCTTATCATCTGCCAGAATTCTCTGAAAAATTTGTTTTTGAAATTGGGTGAATCAATCTGTTTTCTTGGTTCCTCATACAATGGACACAATTTCCCAGGATCAAGCTATTTAATGACTCATTCAGTAGTCTTGCCAAACTTGGCTCTTATCAGCAAGGATCCATTCCTACCTTACAGTGAGAGTTCTCATTTCTTTGTTATACTTTGCTTACAGCAATCATTATATTTTATGTGCATGGGCACCTGAACTTATTATAATATATGGAAATGATTTAGCTAATAAATTTAGGGAGACTCTTTTATTAACTTCAACTTCAGTAAATCTGCTCTTAAGCAGTTCCATTTATTATAGCCTATTGTACAATAAGTGCATTTCCTGATTGGAAATTTACTTACAGTTTCACTTCTTTCCCTCTGAGAAAATCTGACAACATGATGCTGTCATGAACTTTTTTTAACTTGAAAAATATTGGCTAAATATATCTTACTTAAACTCATTGAGGCCTGTTCTTCAATTTTGTTTCCTTCGAAAAACTTGGCTCAAAACTATTAAGTATATCATTCTTCTATATACTCTGTTGTGATTTACTTTTTACCACATATTTTCTGGTAGGAGATTCTGTTGTGCCATGCACTTTATTAATGCTATGTTACTATCTATTAGAAATAATTCCTTTTAGACCAGTTATAACTTTTTATTTATAATTAATTACTAGATGCAGTCTCTTTCTGTGTATAAAACTATTAGGAATTGATATATATTGATTCTCAATCCTCCCTCTAAGAAGAAAAAACAATAGGTGGAGTCAAGGAACTAGTACTCTTTTTTTAAATAGAATGGCAACATGTGAAAAGTTACTTATACTAATGCATGTATTAGATGTTATTAATGGCTTTAGTGAAATTATTTGATGTGACAAGTTCAGAAGCAATTAGTATAAACTTTTGAGAAGCTACCTACTTAAGGTAGCTTATACCCTTTAAATGTCAAAAAATGTCACAATTAATTGTTTGCATATTTTGAATCCTTAACCCTTTTACTTTCAGAGTTTTTCTTAGTTCAGACTAATTCTTCACATCCCATCAAAGTCTGGACCAATTCTCAGGACCATTCAGTCATGTTTGTAGAAGTTATCAGGAACATAAGACATTTCTTTTGTATTTCTTTATATTTATAATATGCAAATTAGCTACAGTGGTAATGTTGCACAACATATGCCAGAATGTCTTTGTATCTATTTCATACAAAAAGCATAGTATGCAGATGTTTTTTCTGCTAAAAAAGACCAAAACCTAGTTAACACTATGTAAAGGGTGTATGCTACTTTAAAAAAAATATAAATCAATCAGTCATGAGTTTAGCTAATTAAATATACTGTTCTTAGCAATAAGGATTCAAATGTATTGCTTTAACAGTTGGGTGCCCCTGCTTTTAACAATTATTTTGACTGTAAACCCAACCAGCAAGCTACTTACTTAGATCAAAAATAAAAATCAACCCAATAATGAGCATAGCTAATCAACTATACTGTTTGTATGTTCTTACTTACAATGATTAAAATGCATTGTTTCATCAGCTGGGAACCCTCACTGTTAGTAAAACATTCAGTTTTATTGCAAGTAGGATTAGTAATAGGCACTTGATAAATTTATCTCTACTTACTTTAAAAGATTCAATTTATATAGTTGAGCAAGATTTAAGTAGTCATAAATAGAAAAGTACATAAATTGAAATAAATTATGTTTTAACACATGCAAGTAGAACAATATCAAGTTGTTCTGTTGAATTGAGTTGTTTCAATGTACCTTACACTTATTTGTATATCTTCAATGAATAATTAGATTAATATTTCTCTGTAAGTCTTTGAATTACCTCAGTCCTGAAAAATCCACTTGAAAGTCTGTACATAGAGTAACAATACATTGCTTTCAAAAACACTGGGCCAATACCTGTTATTTTAAAGCATAGTCAACAAGTTGAGTAATAGCCTGGGGTTTCTCTCAGTTCAGTACTCACGAATAAGTGGATGGAGAATACATACAAAAGAAGTTTCATGTGCAAATTTGGCTTACGATGTCCTATTTTCTAGGATTAAAAGCCAGGATTCCACCTTTAGGTAGACGTTGGTAGGATTTTTTACTTAACTTTTCATTCAAGAGCTCTCTGTGTAAGATTTAAAATTGATTTAGTTTAACTGAGACCGTAGTATTGCTTTTTTAAATAAAAATATTCTTTTAACTTGGGTTTATTTTCAGTCTGTAGTTTACCTCATTGAAGGGTTATACTGCTCACTTAGGTGTCATTGCCTTTCCATCTCTCTCACCTATCCAGCACAGCCACAATATATACACCTGGAAAAAAGTTAAGCACCCCCGTGTTTTTTTCAAGTGATTCAGATTCGACG